GAACAAATCTTAAGCTGGTCGAGCAAAAAATAAGGCATTTGATTATGTTCTATACCTCTTGTGATTCTTGACTGTATGAGGGCAAGTAGGTTATTATTTTAGAGTGATATAAAAAGCTGAGCTATAAGTTCTTCATTAAAATTCTGTAAAAAATTAAAAACTTTTTTCAGGCTGCAGAAGATGTCAATGTTACTTTCGAAGATCAACAAAAGATAAACAAATTTGCACGGAATACGAGTAGAATCACAGAGCTGAAGGAAGAAATAGAAGTAAAAAAGGTATTGACGATATCTTATTTAAGAAAAAAAAGTTCTTTATTGCTACTTAAAACTGAATTCAGTTAACAAGTGATTATATCTCTCTGGACTCTCAGCTGCACATAACACGATCCATTCTAGTTAAAGTAGAAAGTCATTTTTTAAGGGCTATGAGATAACTTACAGAATTGTTGAGGGGTCTGAGTCTAGGGTGAGGTTCCCGGAACGAGTCCCAGAACCACACGTCCCAGAGAACTTTGGTGGCAGTGGAACTGCTGTTGCCTCCACGACGAGGAAGCTACCCCCACAGTCCTGGGGACACTGAGCTGCTGACGCTGCCACTGCCATCTGCCACTGTACACCTGAGGCCTTGTGCCTGGCCTGTCTCCTCATGCAGCTCTCCTGAGTCGAAGTCCGGTTCAAGTGCATCTGATCGGTGGAATTTAAGTCATTATTTACACCCTGTCGCATGCTGGCACAGCATTCGTGCTTTGCCGTGCCAGCGTGATTTACTTAACGCCTATCAGCAAGCAAGACTGGGAAATGCACGTAGGTATTTTTTGGCTTTGTTTTTGTAGGAAGGCAGAACTCACAAAGTGGAACATTGTTAAAATAGAAATTTGGATATCTGCCGTCCACCACAGGGTGCTTATAGCAATCTAGGAATATCCAGAGGACAATGTGTTATTTCGCTTGTAAGTGCTTCCTCATGAAATGTCATCTAAAAATGTAAGAAATCAAAGTCTTATTTTAGTGTGGTAATACCTCTGTGAAAGGGTCCCTCCAAAAGTCCCCCAAATTAAAGTTGGCTTTTGGCTTCTGTCAGGGAATTTTGAATACATTTTCATTGCTGTTTACTTTTATATTTATAGAAACAACTCCAAAATTTAGAAGATGCTTGTGATGACATCATGCTTGCAGACGATGACCGTTTAATGATACCTTACCAAATTGGTGATGTTTTCATTAGCCATTCTCAAGAAGAAACACAAGAAATGTTAGAAGAAGCAAAGGTATGTTGAAGTCTAATTCTTAAATTAGGATTTATATCATCATAAAGAACATGTAATTGGTAGATGTAGGGAAATCATGGATGCTAGCTAACATTTAATGGTTTGTTATGTTGTCCTAGGCATGCTCTGAATGCTTTGCCTGCATGATTTTATTTAATCCGAACAATGACCTGCTATTATCCCAACGTGGAGATGAAGAACAGAGGCTTAGAGAGATTACGGGATTTGTTTAAAGTGACACATAGACTGTGGTCTTGCTGACTCCAGAACCTTGCTCTAAACTGAAAGTATTGAGAAAATACAGCATATTATAAAGTAGAAAAGAAAAATGCCCTATAATCACTACCCAGAGATAACCATCTGTAATGAACATTTTCATGTATTTCTTTTATGTTCTTTCCCTCCCTCCCTCTCTTTATGTAGTTTTGCTTCACACTTTGGGTAATTAATGTTCTAGTAGGAGTATTTTCTTGTTCTGTTTCATGTTTGTCCAGCAGATGCTCACAGGGAACCTGCTCTAAGCCAGGCACATAGGCCTTAAAAACAATTTTTAATGACTGTTTCATATTCTATTGATGGGCGTTGATTTGGCTGGCTGTGCTCTTACTGTTAACATTAATTTGTTTCCAATATTTTGCTAGAGTAAAATGTCACAGTGAGCATTCTTACCAGTAAGTCTTTGTTCACATTTAGAACATTGATTTAAGGACATAATTGGAGAAATGTAACTACTGGTGAGAATATGGATTCTTTGACACTATTTGAGACATTTGATACGTGGTATGAAATTACTGCCCAGTTCACATGTCCTCCAACTACATGTGAGAGGGGCAGTCACATTGTTTGTTTATGATACAATTAAACGTTTCCTAATACTTTTTGCTTAATTGGCTTGAATATTACTTAACATGATAGTTTCCCTTCTTTAAATGTCATAAAACGCAAAACTTTCCATGAATGAAACCCACAGATAGTAAATCTTGGGAAGAACTAACACTTTTACTCCTGGGTCTTAACATGCAGAAACATTGTACGTCTCCCTTATGTTTAAATCGTTTCTTTCATAGTCAAAAAA